AGCGGATATGATGGCAGGTGCTACGACGAGTGTCATCGCAGGACCCCCTACCAGGAGGACGCCTATCCTCAGGTACGTAGTGTCGTAATAGTGTGGATATCGTGGATAGTGTGCGACGGAGTCGAAGGTAAAAATGTAACAATTCGAGGAACAATCCTTTTGATCGAAGATTCTTTCCAGGAAGGAATCGTTCTTGTCTCGATTATTCCCTCCTCTTCGTTAACGTCGCGCGCGCTAAAATTAAATTTAATTTTCGGTTTATAGAGAGAGGGGGAGGGTACACCCTTTCTTTAATTGGGCGGGATAGAATTGAACGAGTTCGTCGCGCGATCCTCTCGATCCTGATATTTACGATTATTGCACGCTGGAAATTAAATTTCTCGCGTTGGGGGAAGGAGGAGGGGAAGAGGGTTAATTAGCGGCGGGGAGAGGGGAAACTTTAAAGCCGCTGATGATTCAGCGGGGTGGAAACTTTGTTCGATAGTCTGACGCCAGGCAATATGAGCCATTTCGGCTTAACTAATTCCAAGACCCGCTCCCCTCTCTGTGTGCGGGGTTGGGGAGTAGTTGGTGCAACGTTAAAGACTTACATCGACCTTACGCGGCCCTGAAACGCTTCTAATTGGGGCATTAATTCGAAGCACCTGGGGCTAATTTCTTGGACGATTATTGTTCAGTGTTCGTTGGCGATTTTATGGAATCTGGCCAGAGGTTTAGACGGGATGTAAATGTTATTACAATGCCTCTTGATATCTCTTGTTAATCAAGAAGTTAGAGAATAATATTTTATTCGTTACTTTTTTGCCGGAAAGGATAATAATAATAACGGTTAGAGATAAATAAAAATAATAAATAAAATCAAGTAAAATATGTTGGAGCAATAGAATAATTATTGCGAGATAAGTGATACAGGTCTGGCTTTGTCCTACAAGTAGAATAGGGCAATTATTGGCGAGCCGGTGGAATAGAGCATGGCCTCGTATTCAGACTAGCACTAGCCAGCCACGCAAGCCAAGAGATCAAGTGGAATAGACCAGCCATATATACCAGTCATAGTCAGACGGAAGAAATATATGCGTATAATCGCGAACAGACAATCAGTTGGTTAAAAAACGAGAAACGTGTTTATCAAACAAATCGACGACGATGAAGTAGAAGAAAATGAATGAAAAATTCGTGATAGTAATCTGCCTATTCCCTGAGTCATCGGTTTCCACATTCTTCTTTCCTTTAAGCACAACGTGGTGCCATCCTCGTTTCAATGAAACCTCTAGTTCTCGTTTTTAAAATTCCTAAGCAACGTACATTTACTTTGATCCTCGTTTCAGCGAGCATTACTGCTCGTCGTCTATTTCGTTGCACCTAAAATTAACGATATGCGCATATTGCTTTGAGCTTGAGTAATATTAACGCGGCTGCGTTTCATGGAAACGCGTCGTTACGCCTTAAACTATTCCCACTGTTATACATATTTTCCGGGTGTTACTCATTTACCCTCCACCGAGTTTCCAAGTAACAGTTGTTAATGAACAGAAAGGTTTTGTGAAACCGAAATTATGATTGCCAAGAACAACGAGTTATACGCTTTGTCGTCGTATTATTAAGAGAGAAATACACGAGAATTTGTGTTTTTCTTATTTTGTTTTTTATTTTCTCTCTCTCTCCTTTCTTTTACGCATCCTTTGATTATTGAAAATTCCGCGGTGAAAATCGGGTGAAACGATGATGAGACGAAATCAAATAGATGCAATTAGAAAGTATTAATAATTTTAAATTCGTTGATCAAATATTGGGCGATGAAATAAAATATGTTAATATGAAAGAATGCAAATGAAACTCTCTGTCTCTCTCTTTCTCTTTGATGAAAAAGTGATGGATTAAGATAAAAATTGGTTAAAATGAATTGAAACTAATGAAATAATCTTCTGGCTGGTTGGTTTGAATGGATATGAGATTAAAACGTGATAATCGTTTCATTTTTAATTAAAAATAAATAAAGGATAAATAAAATAAAGAATTAAATAAGTTTATTATGATTCTTTGATGAAAAAATCTTGTAGATTTATAATTAAGGTTGTGCAAGGTAAACAATTATAAATTAAATAATCCATTCAAGTGTATTTCATATGAAAGACATATATTCTAAAATATATATTAAAATTTTCATTTCATTCAAAATTAACTTTCATAAAAGATTACAAAAACTAATTATTTTAATCTTTACTAATTTTTATGGCGATTAACTGTTGTTTTTTTTGTACTTAAGCATATTCAATACTTTAAATAGTAAAATCTTAAATTTGGGAGGAGTATATTCTTTGTCTGAAATTTATCAAGTAATAGTTGAAGTATGTATTGAAAATACAAAAGAAAAGGCCACTTGTAACGTTATTCATAAACGAGTGGCTTTTAGAGGTCGATTGGATATGAAATAACGAGCTATATTTCTCAAATATTTTGCATATATTTATAGCACCTTATATAGCAGATCAAAGATAAATCATTTATTAATCTATAATCGATTTACATTTTATTACATTGATAATATGATCACAGGAGAGTATAGAAATTCAATCAAATTTTATCAAATAAAAAAGATTACTTTATTACTTTATTAATAACTTAAATTGTATTTTTTAATACAAGACAAAAAATAATCAGACATTATCTTACTTGAATTATTTGAATGCAATGTATTAAAATTTGGAACCTCTTTGGTAAAATTTTGTTTCATTTCCAACCTTTGCATCATATACTTTATTGGAAACAGATACATTTTCCACCCGTTCTAAAATATTTAAACGAAAAGAATCACGATCCTTCCTTACCGTTTTCACGACCCAATTGTCAGTCGAAGTGCTACCGTTACATCCAATATCAGAGGAATATTCATCACTGTCAACAATATATTCGTCGTGAATCGTAACGTTATACCGATTTAGAAACAAAAAAAAAAGAAAAAAAAAAGAAAAAGAAAAAAAGGAAAATAGAAATAAAGAGAGGGGGGAAAAATATATTTCAAAAGGGAGTGAAAAAAATTGTTTTTCTCCCCATACTCTTCCCATTCCACGACCTGGTTGTCAAGTGAAGTGTATCGTTACGTTCAACGGCAGAAAGATTTGTCGTTGACAATAACGAATTGCGAATATTACTGACATCTATTCCAATCCAGTGTTTCAACTTTGAGAATTCGAATTCAGTCAGAAAGCTGGTTGTTGAACAGCTGTCGAGTTCGATTCGATTCCTGTTGATTTTTCAAACTCCCCTCGAGGGAAATTTTTCAAGTATTCTTTTCGCGAAGTGTGTTGCGCTGATTGGAGAAGTTGAATCCAAATGTTTAACGCGAGATAGTTGCAAGTTGAAAAATGTTGAAATTGTTAATTTGAGAAATGAAATTGGTTATCACAATAAAAATCATGAAACATATATTTTGAATATAATTTGATATCGTCGAAGATAAAAATTGCACGATTATACCGTGTTTTTATATCGTTAATTTATACATTTTGTGTAATTTCTTTGAATGGAATTTTCAACCTGGATGAAATCCAGATTCCCTATCGCAAAATTGTAATTGATAATCGATAATTATCATCGATTAAAATCTCTACAAATACAAATAAATATGGCCTCGTATAATTTCGTATTAGGCGATGAATAAACATGGCCAATAAAAACTGGTATTCCAAGTGCAAAACTGTTGATAATACAATAATATAATAGAATTATCAGAATTAATTGGCAGCACAAATTCGTCCCGAATTTAATCCGTTGGGAAGAACCAAATCTCTGAAATATAGGTTTTAAAACGAGCCATAAATTAAACAATTTTCAAATATCGGGGAGAACCGCATTATCAAAAAAATAAATTAAGAATTTGAACAGACTACACAAGTACATTAAACATTTCGATTCGACTCACAACAATTTCCTACAATAATATACAAAACTATTTTTCTCTCTGCAAGATAAATAATAATAATAATAACAATAAACCTTGCAAACTCTTCGTTTTCACCTCCCTGAAAACTGGAGAAAAACATTGCCAGCTACCCCATATATCCTCATCCATATATCCATCCCTCCCTCCCGATCAAATTGTCACCACGTCCCCCTCCTCCCCCTCATACGTCCACCTTGCCCAATCCAATTATTCATCGACCCGTCACCATCGAATCGAACACGTGTCATTAACGACGACCATCACGCATCTACGTACAGTAATAACACACAGGCACGCCCCTCCCCCCTCGATTGCTCCACGTATCGCGGCTGCGATATCGAAGAGCAAACCTGCGTGTTCATCAGGTGGAAAGGCATGGGCTCTCGGGCAGAAATAGGCACGGTTGGCCGGTGGCCACCGGCCTCGAAATCTTCCCTTCCCTTCCCTCCCCTCCCCCCGTCGGCCATTACGGCCTTTCGGTTGCCGAAAATTGATTCGACCACGGGGTGGAGGGGAGGGGAGAAGGGGGTATGCACGCTTCAAGTTCGAACTTTTGTGCCGGTACCTACGTATATTTGGCCCGGTATCGATTTGGCCCAGTTTCCCCGTCCCGCGCGTTTCCGTCCCCCTCCCCCCCTCCCTCCCTATATTTTAGAAATTCGGGCAACGTGCAACGAGTCGAGGGGGAGGGGAAATGCTACCCTGTTAGAAATAAATCAACGTTTATTCTTCCCGGCAATAAGCCCGGGAATGCAGCCACCTGTCCAGCCATTGCTCGACTGTGCAATTTTCAATGCCCGCGAAACGAGGAGAACATTTTTCTTTTCTCTCTCTCTCTCTCTTTTTTTGCGTATTTTAATTAATTCGATTATGTATCGAATTGGGTGCGATTTAAAGATGAATCGTGTTGAAATTTAAGTGGGTGTGATTCCGAGGGTTATTATTAATGGAATTAGAGGGAAGGGATGTTGCCCTTTAAAATGTTGCCTTTTCGTTTATTTTAAATATATTCTCTTACAAGGAAAATATAATCGGTTTAATCGTTTGCCTCGAGCTCGATTGAAATTTAAATCGGTTTAAGGAAGGAACATAGTTACTTTCGATGGACGAGTGAAAAGTTATTAGAGATCATCCCCTTTAACGTGCTTTTTCCATTCATCTCGATATTACTTTCGACATTGATTCTCTTCTCGCTGCTTATTCTGATCTCTCGTCTCACTGACCTATCTCAAATTCCAGACAGATTCCTGGAAGAACATAGCGCATATTTTTTTCCAAGAGGAAATATAGGTCACTGGGTTGCAAGGCCATTCATAATTTCTGTACCGTCTTAAACGTTATGGACACTTTGGATGCTCCTTACATCTCAGTAATATTGGAATAAAACGAAAAAAACATTTCGATTGTTCCCTCTATTTCTCGAATAAATTTTAAAAATAATAAGATATGAAAAGATATAAATTTTATTTAATTTCATTCAATTTTTCTTCCATCATTTTAATATTTTGATCGTTCAATCATTCTGTATAAATCATTTGAAAGATTCCAAAGAAAGAAAAATCGGTTGCATCGATTTGAAAATAAAATAGAAATGCTAATTCAAAATATCGAATTAAAAAAGTACTTCTGAAAATACATCAACAATGGAACAATGGATCGTAACGATTCTCGATACTTGTAACGTTTACGAGATTCTGCGACACAAAGAGAGAAAGAGAGAGAGAGAGAGAGAGAAAGAGAAAGAAGAGGAAACCTCGATGACGAAAGAATCGCGAGGGATCGATAATGTTTCTCTGAAGTGTTTCATTGTCGTTCGGTGTCGAAGCGGGCGGTCATCGAACCGATTTCCCTTTTTCTCCTCCTCCTCTATTGCCATTCTTAAAAGCCATTCTCCAAAGAGGGAAACTGTCTACCTTCATCTCGGCAAATGACAAATCAATGCGTCGTTCACGAAGGCAAAATGGAAGTATTACTTCGAATACATACAGGATAGATCTTCGATTCCATTTTTCCTTCGTTTCAAGACTTCAACTTCTTGCATCTTTTGAAATATATAATTTCGTTCGTAAAAAAAAAAAAAAAAAAAAGAATTTAAAAAAAATACTTAGGGAAAAAAAAAAAAAAAAAAAAAAAATGAATTCATAAAAATAGCTTAGAGAGAAATAAACAATGAACGAACAATATCCTCTCCGGCAAGATAAGACGACTTCCTTTTGTCAAGAATCGTGTTCATCGTCCACTTCCCAAGAACAAAGCCTGATGGCCAAAAGTTCCCCGTGGTGTGTTTCGCCGGATCGAGACCATTTTCAAATTGAAATCGATATCCGTTGTCTCTCCCTCTTCGCTTTTCAACGCGAAGAATTATAGGGTAGCAGATTACTCATACGGAATGAGGGCTGATTAGAATTCGAACGATGTAGGTCAATGGAATGTGCGCCGTTACTATCGCTAAGACATTTCCTGGGGGTATCCCTCATCACGGGGAACGTTGCTGAGTTGGTTGGGTAATGAATTAGAAGTGGACGATGTCGATTGCGAAGTAATTGGAAAATAGAATATTTTTGATGTTGAAGAGATTATGGTTCTGGGATCTGACAGATATCTTTTATTAAAGTTTATCAAATTCATGTATTAAAATATTGATATTACTTTGTAAAAGTTTCGCAAGATAAATTTCATATCATCGATAATTTCTTTTCATTTCGAATCAATTTTCTTCTCTTGTAATATTTGTAAGAAAAAAAAAGCAAAAAATATATCTTTTCTGACCTCCTCCACTGCTCTTGCCTTTAACTTAAGATCGTCTTTCAAACTTGGTGTAATTAAAAAAAGTGAATAAAGATTTTCATTGACTTGCTCCAATCCAGAAATGAAATATACATTAAAAGTTCCATTCAACCAAATCTTATTCAAAATACTTAAAAATCATTATACTCTACTATTATATATTTGTCCTTGAATATTTAAAATTCCAAATTCCTCGTTTCGATAAAACAAACCTGTTCGACAAACCTGTTTAATTTAATTAAAACTCTCTCGTTCTGGTATCCGTCTCTCCGACAATTCTTAACTCCTTCGCTCAATAATACCACGGAACCACGTAGTTAAAGCAATCCAACCACCCCTTTCAACCAACCAAACCTTTCACTCCGCGCTCAAACTTCCTTCCAAACTTCCATCCCACACCCTCCTCAATAATTCATCGGGTGAAGGGGCACCAGCTTACAGCAAAATCTTGCTCGTGTCGCAGGATGTACCTCCAAGCTTCCATCGGCCCCAGTCCAGGCTGGGATACGAGGAGCGTCCCCAATCTCGCGTGGGATACACCTCGGATTCCAGGTGCGCCAGCGGGCTCGGATACGACGACACCGGTGGCGGATACCTGGACCAGACCGATCCCAGGATGTATTGCACCAGTGGTTACTGCATGGGCGATACAATGATGGCGGCGAGCAGGGGTGTCTGCGGGGAGGAGGTCGAGTTGGACATGAGGAGGCACATCCAGGCGTGTGCCTGCACCTGCAACCACATGGGCTACGGGAACTACATGGACTATCAGGTAAATTGAATTTCCAATTCGTATCGTTCGCTTTATGGCTTTTAATCGGTGTAATAATGATGCGGTGGCGAGCATGGGACACGTGGGTTTTAATCTAGGATCTACGAAGGATGGATAAGAGATCAGGCCGTTTAAGGATTTTATTCGCCATTATTATGGAATGTTATTTCGTGGGTGAATCGCTTTTACTAATTGATATTTAATTAATTGTTAACTGTTATCAGGTTATGTGCAAGTATGTTACTGATAACAATCGGTGGTTGTATTAGAATATTGTTGAATTCAGGTTGTAATTTTTTAATCTATACGAAGAAGGAATATTTAAAAACTCTGTTTGTACATGTTTCGTGGTATTGGAAACGCGATAATAAAAGTCATTTCGTTTCGTGGATCGTTTGTGTACATTTATACAGTATCTATAAAGGAAAAATAAAATTTATTCTAGCCACTGTTGGGGGCGAGATCACTGCCAACTATTGTACAATAATTTCGACGTGTGACGACACGTTCAAACATTTCGGCATGTTCAAACATTTCGTGTTTGTGGTACGTTCATCAGAGGTATTATTCGTGGTGGAGGATGATGTCACGGGTGCAAAATGAAATTTAGCGTTCGCGCCTTTGTTTCGGCCCGGATTATCGGTCGGCGGGAATTAAATTGTTTCCGTGGTCGCGTTCCGCGCGAAAGTGGCGCATTAAACGCGAGAAAATTGAACCGAATAAAATATTCAAGTATTAGCTGTACAAGTCCCTCTCAGAATTTGCAATTTCTACTGCAAAATCACTTTTTGGAATTACATCGACTATAACAATTTTCATCTCGAGAGATTTTAATTCTTTAATTCTTCGTATCTTTTTTTTTTTTTTTTTTTTTTTTTTTTTTTTTTTT